GTATCTCAGTCGTTGTCGTCAAGTTCCACTAACGGCAGCCCTAGGAAGCGTGCAGCTTCTGCGGGGTTGGTCCACAGGGACAAGGCCGTTAGGGTTGTCGGGTTTTCCGGGCATGCGAAGAGATGTTTCGATTCATGTGGGGTCTCTCCGCATGCCGGACACTCATTTGGCACATCCTCATTCAATCTACTCAGGTAGGAGTTTAACCTGCTGCAGTAGCCGGAGCGCTAGTGTCGTTCGCGTCTCCCGAGGCAGATGAAGCTCCGTCTCGTCTGTGTCCGGGGGCGGTATGCCTAGAACGGCATTCACAGGTCTAGAGTCTACATAACTCGAGACTGACTCCCTGTGAATGCCGTTCAGGGCCTGTCGGTAAGCTGTCGGGTCCAGAGGTTGCTTGACGAACCTCTGGACTTCGTCCGTCAGTTCATATAGATGCCTCCTGACGTGCCCAGGCGAGGGCTCCTCTGCAAGCAGCTGTCTGTTTGGGTGGCCACTTCTGTGGCTCCCGACCAGGAACTGCTTGCAGAGCATGATGTTTTGCTCCTTTACGGGGAGCATTTGCGCCTCGCCGTGAAGATGGAGTTCGGGCGACATTTGGAGGCATCCGTTCGCTATTTTTCACATCATCTCAACAGCTGCCGATGCCGAATGGATACGTGTTCGACTATCGTGTGGTTGGTCAGGGGTTTAAAACCTGCTGCTCGCACTTAATTTTTTTATTATTTAAAAATTCTATTTATAGCTAATTTCATATGATATCGCTGTAGGGAAATTCTTGCGTCTTTTCGTGCGTAGGTTATAGGGGCATTCGCAAATATTACCTTTTCCCACTGCTTACATTCATACATACATACATATGTGCTTGCTGATTTATTAAAATATTTTTTTAATTAAGAAAATTCTACTGATATGAGTAATTCACATACGCGATGGTAGGTACATACTTTACATACAAGTCGCCATCATCAACGCCAAAGAAGCGCTTACAGAGCTGCATTAAGTCTTGTATTTTTTAAGATATGGTTTTGAATTTTGGTATAGGCGTGTGTCTCAAACTGTACTGACTTTTATATTGAAAAAGCGGCTTTAAAAAATCACAAATGAGGTAATGATGACGTTGTTGGTGTAACAGCATACAAATTAGAATGGTCCTTAAAAAAATCAAATGAACGATTTTTTCAGTTTCACCCCCTCAGTCGGTAATATCACGGTCACAGATATCGCATAGTCGAAGATATCACATATAAATTTTGGTCCCGATTGGAGTCGGTTATGAGGCCTTCATAGGGTAATCTGAATTTTGACCCCTGTGCGACACGCCATAGGGGGACAAAAATTTACATGTCCTATCTTCGACTATGGGAGCAACGATTTCGGTTATTAGATGAAAAAAAGTTGATTTTAATTTTTGAGCCTCCATAGAGGCTCCAATTTTTTTATTTTGAAATTAAACAAGTAAGAAAGTCTAAGTTCGGGCGGAGCCGAATATTAAATACCCGGCGCAATTATTAAATATATGTTTTCCACCTTTCCGAAAGCTACCGCTACACGATAAGCCGGGGTGTATAAATTTTAAGTAAATTAGCGTCCTTAAATTTCGAAATATTGCAGTTTCAAGCATTTCTGAAATATACCGTTATATGACAACCGACCTGGGCGGGGTTGTTGTAGCCGCTACAACAACAACAACATGATGTGAAAAATAGAAAAAATACTTGAGTTAGTTCTAAAACTTTTTGTTTTGTTTGTGACTTCAAAACTACAAATCGCTTACATTGCGATGCATTTTTTCGTTCAACCGTAGTTGTTAATCTTTTCTTGGTAGAAAAAGGTAATGCATTCCCATCTTCCCACTGGGATGTATTCCATACATGCATATGTACAGTACTTATGAGCTATTTCTGGCTCGGGGGAACAACTCTTGCCGATAAGGTGGCTTTTATTAAATAGTAAGTAATTCGGCGACCGCTGTGGTGTAGTGGTAAGCAGTTCGCACTTCCACTCCGCAGGGCTTGGGCTCAAGCCGTGGTCAAAGCAACATCGTAAAAGAATATAGAAAAAAGGTTTTTTTTTTATTCAGCTGTCGCACCCCGGCAGGCAATGGCGCAATGGCAAACCTCCGATTGTATTTCTGCCATGAAAAGCAGCTTCTCATAAAAATACAATGGCCGTTTGGAGTCGGCGTAAAATTATAGGTCCCTTCCCTTTAAGTGGCTACATCAAATCTGAGGAGATGCCCGCCCACACACTAACATGCATATGAGCCAGCGCCCAATCTATTCTTATTATTAATTAATTCAGCTGAAAGTAAAATCTCAATCATATTCATTATAAATATTCAATTTATAAATTCAATCAAGAATTATGGTATTTGTCCGCTTGACTAACCACATGCAACAGTTGAGTATAGTCTGAGAAAATGTGCAAACATCAAGTTTTTTCAATGGATGCCGAACACAACAGGTGCTCTAGTGACTTAAAGTAAAAGAAAACGAACAATAAGCGCCATCAAAATATAAAACAATAGGAGAAAATTTGAAAAACGCGTGTTGAAAATTTGGGTTAACATTACGCACGCACGAAGTGGTATATACACAGAAACACAATGTGGTTGCTGCCTTTTAGCAATGGAATAGNTAAAAGGCACGCAGCGCTGTATGCTTAGCTGATTTTGAAGGATAAGGTCACCGCGGCTGACATACATAGATGATTTAATGTCTCATTTGGGACGCTCCGAAATGAAAAATGATGCACAATTTGAAAATTGCGTGCAAAAGTTTAATAAACATGTTCGGCTTTCACAACTTTATTAAGCAAATGCTGGTACTTAACCACGCCCCATACGAATATGAACTACCAAGAATGATAGAATACACCGTGATGGAGTATACATATTATAATAATGTATACTTATATATATATATACATATGCATGCTTAATTACTACGCCTATAGAAAGCTACTTAGTACCCTTAATTTTTTTACTTACCGCCCCAAATTCCGATTTTTAACTGCTTTTT